TCAACTTGAAGTGTGATGCAGTAGGAGTAATAACATGTTTAATAATCCTGCATTCCAATTGTCCTTAGGACTTTCTCAATATATTTGCTCTGAGATAAGACCAGGGTTCCTTTTCCTCGATCTCGGGTGATGTCCATTCCTAGGATCCTTGAGGCCTTTTCCATGTCCTTCATCTCAAATTCCTCATTTAGTTTTTCCTTAAGGTCTTTGATCACTCTCTTGTTTCCAGATGCAATTAACATGTCATCGACATATAGGAGTAAATAGATAGCCTTATCGGTGTTAACATCTCTCACGTAGACACATAGGTCTTTACTGCAACGATAAAAAAAAATGATCCTTCATGAAGCTGTTGAACCGATGGTTCCATCTTCTTGGAGATTGCTTCAAACCATACATAGACTTCTTTAACATGCACACCTTGTTCTGTGTCCTTGGCTTTATGAATCCCTCAGGTTGTTCAATTAGGATCCTCTCTTTTAGACTTCCATGTAGAAAAGCAGTCTTGACATCCATCTGTTCCAGCTCCAAATCTATGTTTACCACAATGCTAATCATAAGTCTAATAGAGACGTTTTTCACAACTGGTGAGAATATCTCATTGTAATCAACCCCTTCAGTCTGAGAGTACCCTTTAGCAACTAGTCTGCCTTTGTATCGCTCATCCTCAACACCTGGAATGCCAGGCTTTAGCTTTAATAGCCATCTGCATCCTACAAGCTTTGCCTTTGCTGGTCTATCAATAAGATCTCAGGTTATGTTTTTCCTGTGAGATTCCATCTCCTCTTCAGCCGCTTGCCTCCACAGCTTTCTTTCATGGCTTTTCATGGCCTCAGCATAGGACTTTGGTTCCTCAAATTCCAAATCCCCAATAACATTAAGCACGTAAGCTGCAAAGTTTCCATCCTCATATATGGATGGTGGTCTCACGTTCTGCCTTGTTTCTCTGTCTCGAGCTAACATGTAGTTGTCTAGAGTTCCAGTGTCATCGTTTTCACTCTCAGCATCCTGATCACTCGAATTGTTATAGCTCTCTGTTGATGACTCTTCTCCACCTTGATCAGGTGTATCTTCTGTATCACTAGAGGAAGAAGGTACCCTGATCAAGTCATCACTAAAAGATACCCTGATCAAGTCATCACTAAAAGATACCCTTTTTTTAGCTCTTTTGTCACGGGTGTCTTTAGTAGCTTTAGTACTAGTTTCTTCTTTTGCAGTAGTGTGCTTGTATAGCTCGTCCTCATTAAATACCACATTTCTACTTGTTCTACAGCGACCTTCTTGTGGTATCCAGACTTGGTATCCCTTAGTCCCCATAGGGTATCCCACGAACACACCTTTTAATGCTCTGGGCCTGTCTTTTCTTCTGTTATATGGACATAGGCAGAGCATCCAAAAGTTCTCATGTGTCCCAAATCAGGTTTAAACCCTACCATACTTCCTCAGGTAGTTTAAAATTCAGTGTCAAGTTAGGTGACCTATTAATCAGATAGATAGCCGTAGAGGCGGCCTCTGCCCAGAAACTTTGGTCTAAGCCAGATTTAGCTAACATACACCTTACTTTATCCATATATAATAGTTTTGTTTATCCTCTCTGAAACCCTATTCTGTTGCGGGGTGAAGGTGCAGGTCCTGTGTCTTTTGATTCCAACCCTTTTGCAGTACTCATCAAATTGCTTATTACAGAACTCTAGACCATTGTCAATTCTCAAGCATTTGATCTTCTTGTTGGTTTTATTTTCAACTTCAGCCTGCCATTCTCTGAACTTAGAAAATACCTCATCTTTAGTCTTCAAGAAATAAATCTAAACCTTCTTTGAAAAATCATCAATAAAGGTTACAAAATATTTGTTTCCAGCAAAACTATTCGGTGTAGATGGAGAACCCCATAAATAAGAATGAACATACTCCAGAATCCCATTAGTCACATGATAAATCCCCTTTTGACAAGCTCAGACATATTGTTGAGACACATATGACCGAGGCGTGAATACCAAACATTAGTCATATTATTTTCAGGTCTTGATAGATTAACCTCTCCCCTTAAGACTATCCCTTGAAGATAGTACAATCCGAGTTGATACCTTCCTGAGAGAATCCATTTATCATCCTTGTAGAAATTGACTTCAAGATTCTTGCCTTCATATCGACATCCTGCTGTTTCCAGCATTCCATAGGGAATTAAGTTCCTGCTCATGTCCGGCATGTATCTTACTCCTGTTAGAATAACCACAGAGCCATCTAGATTTAGAATCTTGATTTTCCCAATTCCTTGAACATTGTTGTGAGTGTTATTTGCCTTTAATACTTTCCCTCCTTTAAATTCCTGCAGGTCAAACAGAAAACTCTTATCCGGTGTGATGTGAAATGAGCACCCGGAATCCATCACCCACTCATCCTTCCTGTAGTCAGTGCTCACTGTAAGTATCAAGGGTTGCTTTGCTTCTTCTGCCATATTTGCAGAATTCTGAGGTTTGTTTGATCTCTTATCAGGGCACTCACACTTCTAGTGACCCTCTTTTCCACATATGAAATAGCCTTTGCCGTTCTTATTGTTTCTGGGACGTGACTTAGATCTCCCAAACCTGCTCTTAGACCTTTCCTTGTACGATCTTCCACTGCCTTTGCCGGCTCTCTGGTCTGATCTACCTCTTTCAACATTAGGCCTTCTCCACTAGACCTTGTGAACTTGCCAGTCTCTATCAACTCTCTTTCTTTAGACTTAGCAGCCCCAGTAACTTCGTTTAGACTGAGAGTGTCCCTTCCATATTTAAGGGTTTCCTTGAGCTGATCATATTTGGCAGGTATTGAGCTTAGCAGTAATATAGCATGAACCTCTTCAGAGACTTCAACTTGTAAGTTATTTAAGTTTGCTACCAGCTTCAGAAACTCATACATATTATCATCAATAGACTTAGCGTCAGACATCTTGAAAGTATAGAACCTGAGCTGTTGGTATATCCGGTTGGGCAACGAGGTCTCCGTGTACAGGTTATTATTCAGAGTACTCCACATTGCAGCAGCGGTCTCGCAGTTTTGAATTTTCCTTAAAACCTTGTTCCCAACATTAAGCACAATCAAGTCCTTAGTTTTTTTTTCTGACTTCTCAAACTTAATTGGATCTATTGTTGATGAAGGTCCAATGATCCCAGGTAATCCCTTCCCTGTGTCTTTGATGGCTGATTCAGGTTCATCCTTAGAGTTTGACTCATCTTTCAGAAGCTTTTCGTCAGTAAGTATCGACTTCAGACTCAACAACCCAAAGTGTGCAAGCATCCTCACCTTCTATAAGGCGAATATCACCATCACCATCAAACCGATCTATCCCCACGCGTTTCTGTGACTTTCCCATTGATCACATGTACTCAATAGATCTCTCTATCTCCTAAGCAACCTTAACAACCGGATGCTCTGATACGAACTGTTGAAATTATTAGGTTAGGATTACTTAGGTATCAAGTTACTTTGACCTAGATCTAAACTTAAAGTAAAGACACAATCAATTTAACGAGTTCTCGGCCTCTAGCGCGGTACGTCTCATGGAAGAACTCTTGCTCCCAAAATCCACTAGATCAAAGAGACACTAACACCACCAAATTAGTGTGCTAGCAAGTTGTTTACAAAGAACCAAATACTCCAAGCTATAGAAACACAACAAAGCTCTTAGATAATAGACTTAAGCCTAAGCTATGTATCTTGTATTGTTGCCTCTTGCTTACTGACTCAATCTGATCCTTGTTGCCGTAAACTTGATGGTGATGTTCTGCATTAACCTAATCACACAATTAATACGTCGTTATATAATGTGTGTGATGAGATACAACATAACTGGAGTGGGCTTTCTTGTCTTTCGGCCCAGGGTATCATATAGCTGCTGGTCCAGTAAGACTCTTCTTGGTTAAAACCCAAACTTCAACATTATTATTTATTTCATAGCTATTTTTTCGTAGTAAAATTGGAACATCGAGTTTTTGATACATCAAATCAGTGGCCAAAATTATAAAACAAGTATCAGATTTGGAACCAAGTAAAGTGATGAAGAAGTCCTTGGAGTCCCCAAAAACATCACCAATAATACAGTTATTGATGCTTGATTTTTACATCAGAAAAAAATTACTCTTGCTTTCATAAAATCAATCTCTGCACGAGTCACAATCACCCTTATAAACGGATCTTCACTTGTTCCAACCCCCAACTGAATCTCTTATAATATGCACGAAGAAAAAAAAAAACAGAGGGTGGAAGAAAATACTTTCTTGTCTTTCTTCATTATTTTTGCTATTTGCGCCTATTTGCTCAATGTTTATAGTAAACTTTTCAAAGTTTTTCTTAGGAACTCAATGTTTTTAGTAAAATTTGTCACGACCCGTCTCATCAATGAAAGCCAAACTTAAGATCTCATTAGCCTTATCCATTTTGTTCCCACAACTCTGCTTGTCAGTGACAAAGGTTGCTCTGAGCTGGTAATTACTGAGTTTCTAATATGTACAGGACATGATCACGATCTAAGTGGTTTTTGTTATAGCTTCATGTAAGATAACCATATCTACTGTACCTTCTTCTGTGTGAACTTTCTCTTTTTCAAATCTGAATGAGTTGCCAACGTCACCAGCAACTGTGCGTTCTTTGACGGTAAGAAAAGCATTCTCGGGACAGTTTAGTACCAACTGAGTCTTTACTATCATAATCTTTACTATGCTTGTGTTTTCTGTAGATTTCATCTGTTATTTGATTTTAGCTCATATACGGTCTCAAATATATCTCAAAATAACATAATAGAGTATGCCTTTCATACTCACATTATCTGGAACTGGCTCTTACCTATAGTAATGTGTAAAGATTCCATCGGTGAATACTGAACTAAAAACCTAATTTGAATCCAATATGTATAGTTACTATGATGAATAATTGAAAGAAGGATAAAGAAAACACAGTACTCTTCTATTGCTTGGTGAGGGTCCTGATGGATCTGACTCGACCAAATACTTGGAGTTCATTTTTCAAAGTAAAGCAACAACCTGTTAAGAAAAAAAGAGATTACAATGGCTTTCCATTTTATTATCAGTAGACACAAAACGTCAATCACGCAGACCAGCATCAGAAACTTACACATATTTTTTCGCATGCTATATTACGAATAAAGTCAAGAAATGCAAGAAAAAAGTAAACATGTTAAGAGAGAAGCTAAAGAACTAAATCTACTTGGCAAGATTCAGCATCGGAAAATACCTTCGATTGCAACCTTCTTACAAAATATTCGGCTGAGCTAGACTCTGCAAGTAATCAGTCTTTAAGATCATAACCTAACAAAGGAAGAAAAAACAATAGTATAAAATCATAATCAGGGAAAAGTATAATCGAAACTGATATGACAAAAACTTATAACATGAAGCTTGAAAAGACTAAATTAGAGGAGGAAAATAATAATTTAACAAAAATGTAATGTTAGCTGTAAACACAATTGGGATGAAAAGTAAGGAAGCTAATAGGGAGCCTGAAAGAACTAATCAAACTTACCATTCTTCATGTGCAGTTCTTTATGATTTTAAAAGAACTTAAAATCGAATTGTCTCATGTTAGTTGATGTGGCCAGCTCCACAGATTTAATTGAAGCCACATAAACTGTCGAGACCCCACGACGTCCATCAACCCCAACATTTCCTCCAACACCACCAAGTCCCCAACATGCCACGTCTTTTTTTTTTTTTTTCATCCTAGTTATATATATATAAATCAACCCGAGAACGGGAATTTTGAATCCGGTTACAAGCCCAATTCAAACAAAAACTCCTAAGTCAATGTATTACAAAGCTACGTTCGCCCACCCACTAAACCGGCACGTTCCGGTAGCCCGATTTTAAAACTCTTAGGACCCGATTGTTGTTCTCAACCGAAAACGATGACCATGGAACTGTGAGGTTCTCCTCGTTACCTCGGATGCCGGGAACTCCCATGTCGTCGCCGGTGTAGCTAACTCTCGGGGATCTCTTCGGGACTCATAACTTTCACCAACAATGAACGCGCAGACGCATATAGAAGTAGAAATTAGAGGCTATACCAAGTGAAAAACGCTCCTAACCTGCTGTGCAATCTTCTATATCGCCAACCACCCAAGACTAGAAACAAGAAGGATCTCTAGACCTAGTGGTGAAGAAAAAAAGGACGGACCCGAGCCAGTCGCAACTAAACGAAGCCGAGAACACTCCAAGACCTGCAAAAAAGAAGAGAAGCAAACACCACCATGAACACAACATGCTCCTGTTGCTGGGAAGTGCAGCCAACACCGACCAAGCCACCGAGGAGTGAGGCAATCCTGCTGACAAAACAGAGACGCTCGAGATCCTCGAAGGTCGCCTCCTCCGAGAACCGGAAAGAGATAAGTCTTTGATGCCTAAAGCTGAAACCTGTGGCAAGGATAAAGCTTGAACAACCACAATCAGGAGTGAAACCATCAAGGAGAAAGTCGACACACTCCAATGGTCGACATCGACTAGACGGGAAGAGGAAGGAAGATGGAAAGGAAGGCCGCTTCATCACCTTGGAGTTGCCATAGGCGACGCCCCCAACACTGCTCCGGAGCAGCACTTCACGCAAGACCACTGCGAGCTTTGATACACACTGACAACTCGAGCTACAAACGTCTTTGAGTAATCGGACATCCAAAGCTTTCAAGTCGTGAGAACAACAGAGCCTGTCTAACCCAGACGCCCAGGAGAGACCAGAAACTGACCTCGCACGACCATCGCCAACTGAGACCACTGCAGAGAGGAGTCCAACGACGAGACTTCCATTCTGCCTCCGCGCGCTACAGACCCTCCAAGGGGTTAAAGGAGCCCCTTGCACAGCCCTAAAATCCGACTCCTCAGCCTGAGAACACGCTTAACCCGCGCCGCCGCTCCAACCCTTGCAATCTCCACCGGAATCGGAGCTTTCACGTGCAAAGACGAGTCCGACGAAATCCTTGGAACAGAGACAGAAAGCAAAGCGGGGCGAGTGAAGAACACAGGAGAGGAGCAAATAGAAAAAGAGAGGTTCAGAGAGAAGGGGATGGCTCCCGGCGTCAGAACGGACGCTCACGCGCCACCAACGAGCCGGAGCCGCTCAGATCTGTTTTCTTTTTTTTTTCGCGAGAGGATAAGGAGGAGAGAGAAGGTCTGCTTGTTTTCTTAACATGCCACGTCTTGTTAGCCCAAAACATTTCATGTTTCAAATTGAGGTTTGACAAAGAGAAAACTTTGACTGGCCTTGGTCTTTTCATCATATCCGTGGAGCCCTTTCAAATTCTGGTATAAGTAACAGTCACAAAAATTTCAAGATCAACCTATATGGAAGGGTACGGGATGGCCTAACAATGACAATTGTGATATACAAAACGTAATTCCACAGATTCTTTAGAAATCAACGATTATAAGCTTATAAATCAAGAAGAATTTCTAAGGGAGAGTGAAATAATGGGATTAGAAAAATGTGGTACATGAATTTGGGGTTCAAAGAATGTAAAAAAGATAAGAAAGAGGACACATAATCTAGAAACTGAAAATATCAGAGAGATCTGAAGCCTTCGTACCTTATAATACACATGCCATTGCAGCGAACTTCTAGCTTAGTACTGGTCAACAAACTTCTAGCCTAAAAGGTCGAATGCACAAAAACTTAAAATCAGAGGATTGGTATTAAAATCAAAGTTTTTTTACTATGCTTGCTTTCGATTTCTTTTGATTTTACTTGTTTGGTGTATCTTAAACGTTTCGTTTTCTTACACAGTGCACACGAAGAAGATAGAGAGTAAAATCAAATGTTCGGATGAATATTGAAGACACCATTTCAGCTAATAATATGATCCAAATCAAAACTCTCGAAGATGGTTTGCGGCACAACAGCATTGGTAGAAGCCATTTTTGGAGTTTCTTGGTGAGTTTGGAAAAGATGATTGAATCTGAGTGGTTTTGACGGTGGAGCCTCCTCACAACCTTATCTAATTTATAGATTTCACATGGAGTAGCCGAAGAGGTCAACATCGTTACGGGCTTTAATGTCAATAACGACGATGGGAAAGTGAGAAGATGCGAGGGTGAAATGAAGACATATTCCTTTGAACAGTAAGGGAAGAGAAGAGATTAAACGGAACATTGAACTCGCATCTCAAGTTAGACGTAGACGGCGGTTATATGCGTGGAAAGAAAAAATGAACAAAACCCTAATCATCTGTATCACTAAACGCAGAGATTGGGTTAAACTGTTAAAGAGATCAGACCAAACATGTGACCACAAAAATCAATTGAAACCGGAACTAACATGGAACACACAAGCTTCAAGCCCTGCTGACGTGGCTGCTTGAGAGAGAGAGAGAGGCAAAAACTCTCTTGATTGGGTATCTCTCAAACTAATTTCCCAAAATATCAGTATAAATGATTTAATATCTAATTATTAACTGTAAAAATTGTAAAAGTTCATTTAGAAAAAAAAATAAACTGAATTTTTTTAACATAAAAGTTATTACTCACAAATTATATATTAACAGAATTTATGAGAGATCTAAGCTGAAAAATATTTGCCAATATTATTTTAAGAAAATTAGATAAGAACAAGTGAATGGTATAACTTAAGGAAAAATAAACTAATTTATCAAATGATAAATATATGAGTTACTAAATTAAGGTAATAATATCTTAAGGTGATCAGATTATAACATACAATAATATTTTATAAATTAATTATATTGGGACTATGGAATCTATTATATTATAAATTTATTAATTAACAAAATAATTTAATTTTAATATTTCTCTAATTCAAATTATGTTTTTTTTTAAAAAATGATTTTACTGTATACGCATTAATTATATTTTACAAATGTTATTTTCAAATTGTTTTTACTATAGTATTTGTTGTATACGAAATATGTTTCATAGAATTTAAATATCGTTTTAGATATAGTTTAACTAAATATTATCAAAAATATTAAAATGTTTAGAAAAATAAGTATGAAATCCATTATAAATATAAAACAACTAATACACTGTTTTGTTTTATTTATATAAATTATAAATATAACTATTAGTATATGATTTAATGGAACCGTATGTATACGAAAGATTTTTTTAAAATATTATCTTATTATTTTATGGTTTTGTGTCATATTTTGAATTGACCAAACTTAAAATATATTTTTAATTAATTTTTTATATTAATTAATTTATCAAGCATTAATTTATATAAATTTATTGCGTTATTACAAATCAATCAATAACAAGTCAACAAGCAAGGAATACTTTATATGTATGTCAGAACGCACTGTATTCACAAACGTTTCTGATATTTTCTTAGGAGACCGGAAAGTACGTACAAACGGGAAACGGGAAACGGGAAACGGCAGACCAGATCACCACATTGGCTTCGCCAAAAGCTCTTAGTTACTTGTACGTCTCGAATCTGAAACGAGAGGCACGACCATAATCTTTTGTATATAATGTACGAATGCATTTCATATATTAGTATATGGTCATTTGATTGACCATTGCTTAGTGTCTGTGTTGTAAAAGAGATTTTTAATGAAAAAATATTAAACATTTACTTATCCATTTTAAACACGAAAATGCATTAGGCTAGAGTCAGCCTTGCATTTAGAGGTAGAAGCTCTATGATGGACGATGGAGAATATACTTCAACATTCAATATGCCAAAGTTTTGGAATAGATTGTAAAGAGTTGATCGCCATGATCAAAGAACCTCATGCCTGACTAAACTTTGCAACATAATTAGAGAAGATAAAGTCTCTTCAGATTTGCTTCCCATACTTTAGGATCACTTATGTTCCACGTGCGCAGAACCAGATTTTCGATTTTTTAGCCAAGACTGTTAGATCTTTCCATAGAGAGCTTTGTATTATTGGTTGTTCTATTCCGGTCTGGTTACCCAAACCACCTAAAGTTTGAGTAATTTAATATCTTTTCGTTGTCAAAAAAAAAAATCTCCACATTCTCATACACATCGATTGCATCAGGGATTGCGCACTCCTTGTGTATCAATAAATTGTTTTTTTTTTATCGCGCACATGACCTTATGGATCTTGATAGACCCCATTATCATCGGCTACCAAGTATACTAACATAAAAATCTCTATCTCTCGCGGAACGGTGTCGCTCGATATCTCTACACTGTTGTTTAACACTCGTTTAGATTGGCGTCGATCAATGCTTGAAATATGTCATTCGACACTTATCTCTTAGACTGTCACATCCCAAAAGCCCATCATCTTTCTTCTTTTAATTATGACCCATGTAGTAAACCCTAGGGTAATCCACTTCTTTTTCTTATAAATATTAGTATTTTCCTTCTTTTATCTCCTATCACAAATCTAGAATGATGTTCTGCAGTTTTGCAGAGAGATCTAAAAATCCTAGCATTCATATTCTTTTCTTCTTCTCAGATCTGAATCTTCATCTTACTCTTTCTTCCTTCTCTTCATTTTGTTCTCTTTTCTGTATGATACTCTCAAAGGAGAAGCCGCCATGATGTTTAAGCTTCAGAAGTCTTCGCGCTTCGCTGGAGACGAAGCCAAGCCATTAGAGATCTGCAACTAAATGATCTCTCATGTTGTTTAAATCTGTCTTGTCTTCTTTCTAGATGTGGTCACTGGTGAGATAATGAACCCTAGTTTTCCTTTTCTTCTCCTCCTTTTTATTCTTTTTTTTAGATCTCTCATCCCGGATGTTTGGTGGTAGCACCAACCCGTTTCTTTGTCGATATGGTTTGTGGAAGGCTGTAAGCTTTGGATCTACTTCTTCTCTCTTTTCCATTCGCATATCTAAGGCCAAGGTGAGGATTGATGTGATCTCTTCTTCCTTCTTTCATCATCGCTTCATAGTAGGAGTTTGTAACTAAACTTTTCATACCTACGTGTTATCTATAAATATACATGTATTTGTTTGATAGATGAACTATATCATATGTATATACACACCTATATATTGTATTGTAATGTGTGAACATCTAGATTTATTCATAGGTGGCTAAACTGAATATGGTTGAATGATGTCTGAGGCTTGGATGTAATGATTGTATTTGTTGGGGTTATGGTATACATGGATAAGGTATATGTGGGGGGGGGTGTATATGAGTTAGATAAAGGCATAAGGCCTTTGTGTGCCAGTGCAATGTGGTGAAAGTACCTAAGTCTTGGGCGTTGTATTGTTTCTTGTTGGATCATGTGGCAATCGCGTGAGTTGGACAGATTCATCGCCGGAGTGGGCATGCGGCGTGCTGATATGCTCAAATTAACATAAGAGGTTCGATGTAGTACTTGAGGATCGAATCCACATAGACCAATTATTACACTTTATTTTTATGGGATCAATATTAAGCTAAAACAATGAATGGTTTTTAAATTTAGAAAATAAAACAAGCAAGTAAAAGAGAATGATTTGGGTTGGGTTTTCAGATGATAAAAGAGCTAAGTCTAGGGTGAATGATCGGAAATTAATGAGCATGAGCAAAACATCTATTCAAGGAACAAATCACAGCAAGTCTTAAACTCGAACAACAAGACAAGATTGATTCACTCTCGTAGCATCCATCCTTTTATCATGCATTCTTAATATCTAAAATGTCGTTTGAACCAGAGAAAGATGATAAACGTTAAGATCAGATTCGATAAGTTCACAATTTTCCCTAACATCTACTTTCGCTGGTTAGGGACAAATCGCCCATTCATGTTATTTCTAGCAACCTAAAACAGTTTTGGTGAATAAATTAAACCTAGAATCAGGTACTAAATAGCTAGTTTAGTGCAGGCAGTAAGTTCAACTATGAATGGAGGCAGTCAAAACAAAAATCCTTATTTGTGTTTAGCTCATGAATCTATAATCTCCTAGCACCCTAGACTAAGCATATTAACTACTCAGCCATGAACAGAGAAAACACAGAGATAATAGATGAAGAGAACATGTTGAATCAATAAATAATAAGAAAGAGGATTCAGAAATCTTCTCCAAAGGTTGTAGAGATCCTTCTCCCTCGAAATTACAAAGTATGAAACACAAATATCCTAAAGTTCAAATCTGGTTTCTGGTGTAAAAAAGAGCGTAGAAAATAATAGAAAAGGGGAAAATAAGGTATATGGAGGCAGCTGGCGGCTGGAGAGGAAAAATAGGAGAATTATGGCAAATCCCGAAATAATTAGGATTTCCATAAAAATCTCTGCCGCAGGAACAGGCAATCGAGTTGCTCCGCTCACTCGGGAACAGTCTAGCAGACTGTTCTTCGTGAAAACCATAAAATTGCACTCTTTTACTCCAACTGGTCAATCTTCCATCCAAAGCAACTCCAGACCTGTAATGACTTAAAAAGGACTAGAAAGGACTCGATAAAGACTCAAAAACACTTCAGAAAACTTAATTAAAATATGCTAAAAACACCATATATCAATTCCCCCAGACTTAGATCCTTGTTTGTCCTCAAACAATGTCAAGTCTCAAGAACAGGGAGACAGGTTTGAAAGTGTGGGAACTCTCCTATTGTCATCAACCATACCTTAACCACGAATCTCTGAACCATACAAGCACTAAAACTAGGACAACGCACCCTTACAAAAATCCCACTGACCACTGTTCAAACTAGCTCTATACTCTGTATCTCAGACCTGCAAAAGTTAAGCTTTCCAGACAAAACTCATTATATTCAATTAAGAGTGGTGTGAGCTTCTCATCATAGGCATTATTTAGGGTAAACGGTCTAGGTATGAAACAGGCCTTTTAAGTGTTTAAGTGGAGCTAATCAGTGTTTAGGGGTTACCATTTTCGTAGAGGATGCACGATATCTCACAAAATTGCAAGAGAGGATAGATCCATTGATGTCCACAGCCCTTACTCGTTTTTGCCTGCTCTTCCTCTTGCGCAATTGATCCGATCAAACGTCTGTTCTTCTTGTGGAACAGTCGATCATTCGCATGGTCTTTATCTCCTCAACTTTTTGCACACTCTCTTTTACTCGACCTTCCCAGTGGCTCTTGTTTCTTTGT